TGCCTCTTCTCCTCTTTGCATCTAAAGAAGTGGGTTGCAAACCATTTCATATTCCCTCCTTTTCTTGCAACCAAAGAAGTTCAATGTATTTCAACAGGGAGAAATGTAAAATACTACACTTCGGCAGTAAAAATAAAATGCAGAGTTATAGGATGACGGACATTCGGCTTGAAAAAAGTCCATGCGAAAGAAACTACAACTCTTATGATTTCATCATACGCAATAAAATCAGCTCATTCCTCAATTTCCTGCATAGAGATGTATAAAAATGCCTCATTTAAAATGTGATGGGAATTTCCCCTCGCCTATCTGTCAAAATAATGATGATGATGACACTATGAAGGGAGGAGCTGAGATGGGCAGCATTGATTCCTTTCTTCTGCAATTACTTTTTTGGGACTAAGGAGGTATAGCAAACATTCAAAGATATTCAAATCACTCAGGAGAAAGTAGCAAGCATGCAAATCCTGCGCTTCTTCTAGTTTTTCTGTAACCTTAGAGAACTCCCTCTTTCAGCATTCTCAATTGCCTCTCTGATGCTCCTACTGTGCTGTCAGGCTTTTGTTTTGCCTATCAAAAGGCTAGCAGATATATATATATATATATATATATATATATATATATATATATCTGCTAGCCTTTTGATAGGCAAAACAAAAGCCTGACAGCACAGTAGGAGCATCAGAGAGGCAATTGATTATATATATATATATATATATATATATATGATCAATTATGATATATATGATATATATGATCTATATATATATATATGATCTAAAGCTTCATTTCCCCTGTCTCTCCTGTTCTTAATTCTGCAACATAAGAATAACTCCTCTATATATGTTGTTGTGAGTTTTTCGGGCTGTAAGTTGAACTCCCGAGATTACAAAGAGAGAAGCTTTTCAAAAAAGAAAGAAAACGGAAGAGCAACAGTGGGGGAAACAAGTCTTTTATCATGAGATGGCAAATCAAATGGATACATCTTAAAGAAGATCTTCTGTTTAATTTCAAAACGGGGTGTGGCGAAGTTTAAGGGAAAACCAACTCTTCCCAATGCTTGGCTTATCCTGTGAGATGAAGTCCTTAATGGACCACAAGCAGCATGGGAGTCAATAGTGTGATGCGGCAACTAAAAAAACCAATGCGATTCTAGGTTGCATCATTAGGAGAATAGTATCTGGATCAAGGGAAGACAAAAGTCTTTTCTTCTGGTAAGACCTCACTATGAATAATTCTATGTCCAGTTCAGATTGCAGGAAAAAGAGATGTCATCCATATATTAGGAAGAATACTGAGTAAGAGCTATTCAAGAGTGAAGCATAGAATGCTTGGAAGCGTGATTGGGTCTTCTCTGCTGGCTATCTGACAGAATTTGGATGGACATCTGACAGGAAGGCTAGGATTGTGTCTTCCTGCTCGGCAGAACTGGGTTCGGCTTGATGGACCTTGAAGTTCTGTCCTACGCTAGGATTCTAAGATTCTATAAAGGGGGTTGCAACCCATTTTGTTTCTCTTCTTCTTTATTTGGGTTTGCATCCAAAGAGATGGGTTGCAAACCACTAAACAGCTGCTAAAAGAAATCTGTTGGTCTTAAAGGTCCCTTAGACCTCTTTCTCGTTTTTCTAGAACAGACTCACAAGCCTTGAGAATGAGATGGTTCATGTTTTGGCTGCTGAATGCATTTAATTCCCTTTCTTTTCCTTATTGGGTTTCACCCATGTTATCTTCTAAAATCTATGGTCTGCATGTCTGTGCCTTCAAGTTGCCTGTTGACTTATGGAGACCCCATGAATTTCTCAGGGTTTTCTTAGGCAAGGAAGATTCACAAGTGAGTCAATTAACCCACTTCACTTCCTTCTTTCTTTCCTTCTCCTGCAATTTTGGATTTCCGGAGAGCTGGCACTGGATCCGATGACGTTAGAATGGTGACTTTGCTCCACGTTTCAGTCCATAGAGTGTTGAACCCTTTCCCCAAAGTAGGGCAGTGCGTTGAACTTTAACTCATCTGAGGCTTTAAACGAGGTATGGGCAAACTTGGGCTCTTCAGGTCTTTTGGACTTTAACTCCCACAATTCCCAACAGCATAAAGTCCAAAACACCTGGAGGGTCCAAGTTTGTCCATGTTTGTTTTAAACCCAGATGAAATTGAATGACCGCCACAGAATCATAGAACTGGCACATGATACAAAATTGGCCAGAAGGATGCGATGCCGCTACTCATTGGCCAAACTGAGCCCCTCCAGAGGAGACCTACCTGGGCACCAGGGATTGAAGAGAAGGACGAACTCTCCCAGGTCGAAGCTGGACCCTTGGCCTTCCGTGGAGACGTCTACGGTGAGGCGGTAGCGGCCGATGCGGGCGTCCGGAGGAGGAAAGACGAAGAGGGTCAAGGAGGAGCCATCCTGGCCTTCCACAGCAGAGCTCCATATGGTCTCTTCCAGGGAGCAAGAGAGAGGGAAGGAGGACTTGGTCCCAGATGTCTCAATGGGGCAAGGACCTGCAGGAGGAAGGAGAAGCAGGAGGAAAAGGGGATGAAAAAGAAAAAGAGGGGGTGAAGAAAATGAGGAAGGAGAAGGAAAGGAGGAAGAAGAGAAAAAGGGGAAGAGGGCAAAGAGGAGGAGAAGGGGAAAGAGGAGAAAAGAAGAAGAGAGCAAGGAGGAGTAGAAGGGGAGGAGGATGAAAAGGAGGAGAGGATGGAGAAGGAAAGAAGGAAAAAGAAGAGGAAAATGGGAAGAGAATAAAGAGAAGGAGGAGAGAAGAGAAAAAAGAGAAGAGAGCAAGTAGGAGGAGGAGAAAGGAAGGAGGAGATGGAGGAGAGATGAGACAAGGGGAGGATGAAGAGAAGAGGGTGGAGAAGAAGGAAAGGAGAAAAAAGACGAGGAAAACGGGAATAGGGCAAAGAGGAGGAGAAAAGAGAAAGAGGAGAAAAGGAGAAGAGAACAAGGAGGAGTTCAAAGGAAGGAGGGAGATGAAAGGAGGAGAAGGAAAGGAGGAAGAAGACGAAAAGTGGAAAATGGTAAAGAGAAGGAGGAAAGAAGAGAAAAAAAAGAGGAGGAGAAGGGAAGGAGGAGAAGTAGGAGAGATGAGACAAGGAGAGGATGAAAAGGAGAAGAGGATGGAGAAGAAAAGCAGGAAGAAGACAAGCAAAAGGGGGAAAGGGCAAAGAGGAAGACAAAAGAGAAAGAGGAGAAAAGAAGAAGAGAGCAAGGAGGAGTTGAAAGGAAGAAGGAGTAGAGATGAAAAGGAAGAGAGGATTGAGAAGGAAAGGAAGAAGAAGAAGAGGAAAAGTGGAAGAGGGTAAAGAGAAGGAGAAGAAAAGAGAAAAAAGAGAAGAGAGCAAGGAGGAGAAGGAAAGGGAAAAAGGAGGCGAGATGAGACAAGGATGAAAAGGAGAAGAGAATTGAGAAGGAGAATGGAGAAGTGAATGAAGAGAATGGAGAAGGAGAATGGAGAAGTGAGAAAGAAGAAGAACAAAAGGGGAAGAGGATAAAGAGAAAAGAGAAAGAGGAGAAAAGAAGAAGAGAGCAAGGAGAAGTTGAAGGGAAGAAGGAGTAGAGAAGAGATGAAAAGGAGAAGTGGATTGGGAAGGAAAGGAGGAAGAAGAAGACGAAAAGTGGAAAATGGTAAAGAGAAGGAGGAAAGAAGAGAAAAAAGAGAGGAGGAGAAGGGAAGGAGGAGAAGTAGGAGAGATGAGACAAGGAGAGGATGAAAAGGAGAAGAGGATGGAGAAGAAAAGCAGGAAGAAGACAAGCAAAAGGGGGAAAGGGTAAAGAGGAGCAGGAGAAAAGAGAAAGAAGAGAAAGGAGGAGAAGGAGGAAAAGAAAAGAGAGAGAAAAAGAGTTGAAGAGGAGGAAGGTAGGGGCGGAGGCAGAATAAGAGGAATGTTGTTAGCACAGTGTTTTTTCCTTCCTTCTTTCTTTCTTTCTTTCTTTCTTTCTTCATTGGCTTGTGGGCTGCAAGGTGATACAGAAATACTTTTCAATAAATAGGTAAATCGCCCAAAGCAGCGCCAGACGGGGAGGTTTGTCAAAGCGTTGTTTTTGTCCCTTGGAGAAACGCAAAGGAGCCAAAAGGAAAAGCAAACACCACCGTGTCAATAAATGAAATTTACCATGGGCTCATCTCAAGGGACCCCCGCTCAAACATGAGAGAGAGCGCAGGCAAGCATTTCGGCATGTTTTGCTGATGTGCCCTTTTCCTGAGACGAAGCATTCGATGCACATTGCCTTCTAAGGCGATTTCCAAATCACAGGGTTGTTGTAGGTTTTTTCGGGCTATATGGCCATGGTCTGGAGGCATTCTCTCCTGACGTTTCGCCTGCATCTATGGCAAGCATCCTCAGAGGTAATGAGGTCTGCTGGAACTAGGAAAAAGGGTTTATATATCTGTGGAATGACCAGGGTGGGACAAAGGACTCTTGTCTGCTGGAGCCAGGTGGGAATGTTTCAACTGACCACCTTGATTAGCATATAATGGCCTGACAGTGCCTGGAGCAAACTTTTGTTGAGAGGTGATTAGATGTCCTTGTTTGTTTCCTCTCTGTTGTTGTGCTGTTGTAATTTTAGAGTTTTTTAATACTGGTAGCCAAACTATCTACAGGCCCACCAAGAAAATCCAACCAATGCTCCGTTCAGCAAAGGACAAGAGGGACCCTCTCACTTCTGCAGGAGTCTCCCGTGTACCATGCAGCTGTGGACAAGAACTCTACAGAGGGACCACCAAACGCAGAAATGCCCTAACACGAATCAAGGAACATGAAAGGCACTGCAGACTAGGTTCTTGTGGGGGTTTTCGGGCTATAGGGCCATGTTCTAGAGGCATTTCTCCTGACGTTTCACCTGCATCTAGGGCAAGCATCCTCAGAGGTAGTGTAGACTCCTTCAACCAGAGAAGTCAGCCATAGCAGAGCACCTGAGGAACCAACCTGGACATAACATATTATTTGAGAACACAGAAATGCTGGACCACTCTCACAACCACCATGTCAGGCTACACAGAGAAGCCACTGAAATCCACAAGCATGTGGACAAGTTCAACAGAAAGGAGGAAACCATGAAAATGAACAAAATCTGGCTACCAGTATTAAAAAAAACTCTAAAATCACAACAGCACAACAACAGAGAGGAAACAACCAGGGACATCTAATCACCTCTCAACAAAAGTTTGCTCTAGGCACTGTCAGGCCATTATATGCTATCAAGGCGGTCAGTTTAAACATTCACACCTAGCTCCAACAGACAAGAGTCCTTTGTCTCACCCTGGTCATTCCACAGATATATAAACCCCTTTTCCTAGTTCCAACAGACCTCACTACCTCTGAGGATGCTTGCCATAGATGCAGGCGAAACGTCAGGAGAGAATGCCTCTAGACCATGGCCACGCTTTTCTTCCTTGTAAGTGCAAAGCAAGCCATTTGGGCAGGAAAACTAGACGTCATTGCAGTGTGCATCTACACTGTTGAATCTGATGCTGTTTGATACCACTTTAACCCCCATGGCTTAATGTTTAACCTTGGAGAAGTTGCACCTGTAAAAGATTCTGATCAGAGACCAAGTGAGGAGAAGGAGGTTCTCCTGATGCATCCTTGGAACTTAAGCAACCTTTTCCTGGCTTGTCTGCAATGCAACTGAATTAAAATTCCACTCCTAAACATTCTTGGCCAGTTCCCACTTGAGCTTTGCCCCAGTCACTCTGCCCAGTTTGCATTATAGGAAACAAGGCGGCATATTTGACGGAGGGAAAGAAATAACATAACGTCCAGTGCTTGTGTTGAAATCCACTCCCATCCAGCAGCTGCATGACAACATCCCCGAAGGTCTCCAAGTTCTGAAGCTGCCTTGGAGGAACACCAAAACTTTGTCCTCAGAAGCAAAACAATAATAACCATATAAAATCACCTGATCCTTTGCAACAACATCAAAGAACAATATTGAAATCTGCACCATTTCTTTGGAGAACAGTCTGGCTACTAGACCTCCAAGTCTCTCCATTTTATTGCGTTTCATCTCTAGACAAGAGGCTGAAATTCCATGGCCAAAGACAAGAAAGGCTACTTTTTTTTGCTTGGAGACTATCTACTTGTAACCATTACTTAGTTTCAATTGGTTTGTTTGTTTATTTATTTATTTTGGACATTTATATCCCATTATTTTGGACATTTATATACCTCCACAGAGGGACTCAGGGCAGCTGACAACAAAAGCATAAATATTCATCTATATAAATAAAAATGTAATGGAGTTGTAGTAGTTTTTTCCGGGCTATATGGCCATGTTCTAGAGGCATTCTCTCCTGATGTTTCACCTGCATCTATGACAAGCATCCCCCTCACTACCTCTGAGGGTGCTTGCCATAGATGCAGGCAAAACGTCAGGAGAGAATGCCTCTAGAACATAGCCATATAGCCCAAAAAAACCTATAACAACCCAGCGACAATGATATCGAGCTGCTTTCAGGAGGGTCTCCCCAGCTGAGGAGATCCCTGAGGACCGCACCAAAGAGAGTCCTGGAACCTTGGTGAGGCCAGCAAAGCCAATTTCAGCGATAAAAATATTAAAAATAATAAATCCTCACCAAAGCGGAAGAAGTTCAGCGACCGAGGTGTTTTATTTGCGATTCAGCTGCAATAGGATGCAATAGTAGGGATAATTCCTCTACAAGCATATCGCTAGTGATTTCACAAACATATTTATAGAGAAAATACAAAGGAAACAATTCAAATCTCCCGCCCGCCCCTTGCCGGCCGGCTTCGCACTGATTGGTTGATAGCCCGAACAGCTGGGAGGAGGCTTGGCGGCCCACCTCGCCCTGGGCCAATCAGCAAGTTTCTCCGCCTCTGGAGAACCAATCGGCACACTTCTCTCGCTTCTGAAGATGAATCAGAAGCGAGAAGGCGGGACGACCGCGAACAATGGTAGGATGATAGGATTATAGATTGCCAGCCAGCTGGAATGTGAGGCTTTGTCTTGGCTGGCAAGGTGCGATCACCGTAAACAAAGGTTTTCCTGTCYGTGATGGGTTTTGGTGGAGGAAACAAACAGGATCAGGGCAGCGGACCTCGGGGGGATCAACGCTGCCCTTTGTAAATCAATCATAATGTCCGTATCCAAATAGACTTCCTCATCTCGCTAGACAAACTCAGAGGGYGAGAAAAGGAAATCATAAATGGCTTTTCTTTTGTCCATGCAGATGAGTCAATCAAAGGGAAGTTTCGAGGGAGGCAGGGATTCTCCCTCGAGCATTGCAACAGTCCTTGGTCACTTCTTTGTGGGGMAAAAGTCAAAGGGAAAGGGGGAAACGGACAATATTTCATGCATTATTTTCTTATACAAAGTTCATAAAGAAAGCCCCATTCCCACCCCATATCTTTATCAATTTTTATTAAAATAGTTGATTTTTATTTTTATTAAAAGACTTGAAATCCCATGTTCCTGGGGAAAGTCTGCAGCACAGGGGTGGCTTGTAGTCCAAATTTGGTCACAAAGGGTCATTTTCCCT